TTTAGGAGGTCTGGGGAGGGCTTGAGATGAGATTTCTAACTAGCTCCCAGGTGATGTTGTTAATGCTGGTCCACAGACCACACTTTGGGTGTTGAGATCAAGCGCACGGAAAGCTTGCAGGGAGTGGCTGGAAAGTACCAAGAGCAAGATCAAGAAGGTCCAACACTGTATAAGGGAGTCTGGCCCTGACCTGGTGGGTGATTAGCAGCTATTAAAAGACCCAGGTGGAGTGAAACAAATAGATTTCCATTTTTTTAAAGGCTTGTAGAAGTTATGCAGACAATAGGGCATGAGATGAGGGACAAGAGGCAGAGGCATCAGCTGGGGGGGGATGGTAGGCAGAATAACAGCAACCCCCAAATGTCCTTGTCCTAATCCCTAGAACCTGTGAGTATATTACATTATGAGGCAAATGGGACATTGCAGTTACTAAGTTAAGGATTTTCAGATGGGAAAATGATCCTGGCTTATCCAGGCGGGCCCAACATAATCCCATGAATCCTTAAAAGTGCAGAACCTTTCTCGGTTGTGGGCAGAGGAAGAGGGGACTATGGGAGAACAGTCAGAGAGGCAACGTTGCTCACTCTGAAGGTGGAGGAGGAGGAGGATGCCGGAGCCAAGGAATGCAGGTGGCCATCAGGAACTGCAAAAGGAAAGGAAATGGATTCTCCCCTACAGTCTCCAAAAGGAATGCCGCCCCACTTGATTTCAGCCCACTGAGACCCACCTGACTTCTGACCACCACAACCATGAGATAATACATTTGCATTATTCTAAGCCATGAAGTTCATGGTAAACTGTTACAGCGGCAATGAAAAAAAAATACAGGAGGCCACTGCAACATTTCAGGGAAGAATGATGGGAGCCTCACTGAAGAGAGAGGCAGCATAGGAGAGAGCTAGTTTGAAAGATTATTAGGAGGACAGAGATGAAGGGGTGGGAGTAGGGGTGGGTGATGAGGGGGAGGCAGGACTTGAGGCAAGTTCCCAGGTTTCTCTCTTGGACAAATGTCTCTGGTGGTCAAAAGGAGGGAAAGAAGTGAGTGTGAGCGCGCATGTAAGACGGTGTGAGAAAGTGCAGAAGGAGGAGGCTGGTCTCGGTCTCCTTTCTTCCAGCTCCATTTTCACCGAGAAACCATCTGATCTTAATCCAAGCCTTCCCTCCTGGGAACAGCACGTGCTCGCCGCCAACACAAACAGCTGCTCTGCTTGTCAGTTACATTTTTCACTTTAAATTAATGAATTTCCATTCTAGTCATAAACCAGGCTCCTGTGAGTTTAGTTGGAACGCAATAATTCACCAGGGTTTCATCTCTCCTGGATGAGTGGACAGAATTGAGCTTCCACCCCTGCAAAGCGGACGATCAGACCTTGAACTGCGGTGACCCTGGTTTTGCCTGCTTCCTTGGCACAGCCTCCCCAAGTCCTAGGCTGGAAGGGGTCCGGGAAATGGAGACTTGGAAGAGGCTGCCCAGGGCTTTCCCCTGGGCCAAGTAATTAGGAACCATGAGGCTCTGCGCTTGCAACTTAACCGCTATTTATAGTTCACACTCTGAGTTTCCTTCACAGATACGTACCGGGGACCCAGCCTCCAGAGAGCACACCCTGTCTGGATCCCCTGCTTGGGAGCAGATGCCAGCCAGGAAAGCAGTTCTGGGAAACTACCAGAGTGGGTGGGTGGGGTCTCTGGCTGAACTGATCTACAGGTGGCTGGTTTCATCCTAGAGACATCCTGGGAAATCTGAGAAAAAGACGACTTCCAAACCTCCTCCGAATGATGTCTTTCCCTGTGCCTAACTTACCAAGGGACCTCCTCTGAGTAAAAGAAGGAGAGCAAAGACCCTTTGTCCCCCACAATACTAGGGTCTAGGATTGCTGGTACCCACCCACCGCTCAGATGAGGAATCTGAGGCTCCTGGAAGTTCAGATTCTTGTCCAGCATTGTATCAATCAAATGTCAGAGCCAGGACTTGACTTCAGTCTCCTGATGACAAAAATCTATATCCTTAGTACTTTGACCTGGGATTCTGTCCCACAAGGGGAGGAGTGTCCCTCCTCCACCACGCCCCTCCCTGCCATCCCCTTCCTCCACCACCCACTCCCTGTCATCCCCTCCCCCACAGGTCTTTGTCAATCAGGGATGGTTTGACGGTTCTCTTGCCTAAGCAGGGCCCAGCATGTTTAGGGCCATGACTGGGGCACCCAAATCACCCAACAGTAACACAGTCCTCCAGCCAGTAAGCACTCCTGACCCCCTTCCCGTGTGTTTGGCCCTCTGCTAGGTGCTGCTGGCAACAGTCATAGGATGATGATAGCCCCTGCCCTCTAAAAGCTTATAAAGCAACCGGGCTTACGTTGTGGGGTATTCAAATCACAGAACTGGAATGGGGATCAGGGCCTGAGCTGCAGGGCCAGGAGCTGAACCAGGTCTGCTGGACTCTGGGACCCGTGCTCCTGCCCCCGATGTCAGCGTATCTCCCAGTAACGCTGCTTTATGGTCTACACAGCGTTTTCCAGGCAAGGAAACTGAGGCTCAGTGAGATGGACTTGCTCTTCTAAGGCCATAGAGTGGCATGTGGCTGACTTGGGGTGGGGGGGGAATCTCCAGTTCCAGGTGCCACTTTCTCCTGTCATACACCTGCTTTCTCCCCCTCCACTAGTTCTGAAGAGGAGATCTAAACGGGAGAGGACTCCTGGGTCACACCAGGCAGGTCTCACAAGAGAAGAATAATGAAGGGCCTCCTCTGCCCTGCTCCTAGTGCCCCCAATGAGGGCATCCCCCCAACCCCATCACAGCCCCCCTAAAAAAAGGGCTACTTACATATTCTTTAATGTCCTTTGATTTCACAGCCTTGTAGGAATAATACGCAGGGTAAAGGGTGCCAAATATAAGCCTAGAGGGAAGGAAAAAAAAAAGAAATGTGATTTTCATTCATCCTATTTGATGGAAAAAACTGTCATCTTCAACGCCGGAAGCATTCTCCAAGCTACAGAAAACGGTGATTTATCTTTCTGAATGCCCTGAAGGTTTTTCTGCTCACGGCTCGGACGCACTTAGCAACCTCTATCTCCTGATACAGCTCCACACACACCTTCCTTCAGTCTGTGTCTGGCAAAAGAGGAGGGTGGTTTGGGGTCATGGAAGCCAAGCTGAGCAGCCAAGACCCCTTGAAATTAAAGGCCAAATGTTCCTCCCTGCTGCTAATCCCCATCAGATGCTCTGTAAGTCCCACCCACACCTTGGGCTTCCTTCTCCATCAAAACCGTGTCACTCCAAATTGCTTCAAATTTCACCTCCCTCCGACTTAATTTCAGCATCTTGCAGCCAGAATCAGCTTTTCAAATTGTAAATCCAATCAGGCCAACCCCTCCTCCTACCACACACGTCCATCCCAACCTTGCATTAACCTGCTTCTCACTGCTCTGAAGATGAAGAAGCAAAAATAATGACACCAGCATGACTGGGCATCAGCTCTCACTGTCCCAGCACGCCGGGGCCACACTAGGCCATTAAGCAGCCTCTCAGCCTTGCCCCTAAGGACCTACATGGCGTGTGGCACAGCTCTGTCTGCCCTCATTCTCCCCACCTTGCACCATCCCCCCCACAAAGCCTCGGCCTGTGTTGTCTCTCTTTCTGGAATCTTCCCTCCCCTTTCTTTGTCTGGCTGGTACCTCTTCATCCATCAGATCCCAGCTCCATCGTGACTTCTTCACGGAAGCCTTCCCTGACCTTGCCAACTAGGTCAGATCTCCCCTCTAGACTCTCGGAGCATGCCGTACCTATGATCGGGGTGCTCTTTTATTATTATCTGGGTGATACTTTGATTGACAGCGTCTCCCCATTGGAATGTAAGTGAATTCAAGGCACAAAATGGATGTTTTGTTCCACAGTGTGTTCCCAGCACCAACCACATAGGAGGCTCTCAGTGGATATTTTTAAATGAATGAATGGATGAAATGTTGGAGCTGGAAGGGTTAAATCCTTTCACCTGACAGATGAGGTCACACCCAGGTGTGTCAATTCCAGTGCAAGCTGCCCCAGCCCCAGCCCCAAAGGAACCAAAATCTCCTGTGACAGCCCTACAGACAGAGCTTCCAGGGTCCCTCAAGGAGACAGCACCTTCGGGAAGCCCAAAGCCATGGCTTCCTCATCAGGGAGGCCATGCAGAGAACTCCTCAGTCCAGATGCAACTGACCAAGCAGGGTCGGCTTTCCGGTGAGTGTTGCGGCCCAGTAACACACTGACATTTCACACTGATCAGATTTCCAGGGAAAAACAGAAAACTAACTGAAGCAAGTCTGTTTCTGGTGCTAGAACAGAAGGGGAGAGGGTTTTGTAATCTTGCCTGACATAAGCCCTGCGCTAGGCAGTTTGCAGGCACGACCTCCATCCTCAGACGGCCTTGGGAAAGGGAACCTCACCTCTGGACAGGACGCCAACGTGTGGAGTGGTTAGTCTGTGCTTTTCTAGTTCCACGGCCATTAAGGGGTGGAATTCGGGGGCTGGGACCCAGCCAGCTGGCCTTCTCTGAGAGCCTGGCTCCTTACTGCCGTGTCTGCTGCCTCAGAGAGCAAGGCCATCCTCCAGGAAGGCTGGGATTACGTCTGGGGAGCAAGAGAAGCCAGCTAAGGGGGCAAAAGGCTAGTCTGAAAGGAAGCAAGAAATTTAAGAAAGAGAGGGGTGGCAACAGAGCCAAAGACCACACAGGCCGAGGCAGACACAGCCTGGGGAAGCCCATGGGGTTCGGTCACAAGCCAGCTTGGAGAGAGACATCTCCCCAGCCGCCCCACCGTGTCCTCCCCCTAAACATTCTCAGATACCAGGGAGAGCCTTCTTCCTCCATGAGGCCTTTCCTGACCTTCGCACCCCGAGAAGGTTAGGTTCCTCCCCATTCTTCACTGCCACTCCCTGGACCGTCCCCTTTCTTAGTCCTTATCCATATTGCTTTTATTCAACATCCGTCTGTCCCACAAGACTCCACGAAGCCAAGGATGGTGTCTGCCTCTCTCGTGTAACCCCACCCCCTGGGCCTGGCAAGTGCTTAGTAAGTATGTGTTCACTCGGGGAGGTTTCAGAGACCGGTGCAGCAAAGGTCAGAGCCACCCAGGGGACACTCATGACCTGGGGGCTGAGGTCTCAGCAGCGAGAGGGATGCCAAAAGGCACTGGGCTGACTCAGCAAAGCCTCAGGCACGAGGCCACAGGCTCCGGAGAAGCAAACACTCCCCGCTTGGCACGGATGCCTTGGTTATTAGCAACGTCTGCCAGGAAGGTGTCCAGCCCCTGCCCTGAGGCAGCACGTGAAGCAGCAGAAGAGAGACAGGTGGAAAGCGCATCTTGACTGGACAGCCCACTGGTCCACTCCTGCTCCTCTGTGAACCCCACAGGCAGCGACACCCACTGAGTGGTCACCGAGGTGGGAAGCCTCCTGGGCGCCCAGACCAGGGAGGTCTGTGCTCCGTCCATCAGCTGGACTCCAATGTGAAGTGGCCGCCAGCATCCCCCTCCCTGGCTCCCGCGTGACAGTACAGGGACAGCAAGATGAATTTGCTTTTCAGACTCTAAAAGTTCAGTAACACTGGCGGGTTAGGGAGCACACTTAGCATTTCACTGCCCAGCGGAGGGAGGATGGGATGAAAAGGGCACGTTCTTCTAAATCTGTTTTGGAGAAAAGAAACAACGAATCCCTTTGGCTTGGGATTTACGTCCATTCAGACCAAGTCCCCACGGCAAGGCCCTTCTCCACCGGCCCCACTGCCTTCCTTGCCGGCCTCCCGGCCCACCCCTCCCTCGGCTCCAGCTCCCGGCCAGTAGCTGACCTCCTACCCCTCAAAAAGCCATGCTCACACGCTCCTACCCCTCAAAAAGCCTGCCTGCTCTTTCTTCTGCCTGAATCTTAGCACAAGATCTTCCCACAGCCCCACACTTCTTTTCTCGGATAAAGTTCCACTAATCCTTTAAGACCCATCTCAAAAGAGCCACTTCTGGGAGTCTTTGATCACTTGCCCCTCAGAATTTTCTTGATGCTGGTTAAGTCAGTTATGGCCCTGTTATCACAATAAAACACTAAAATCAATGATATGAATGCCATCGAGCGCTCACTAATGCCAGGCACTGTACACATCTGCCACCTGTACACATCCTCTTAATCCTCTCAACACCCACATAGGAGAAGAATTCTTACCACTCCATTTCACAGACTAGGACACTGAGGCCCAAAGGGACACAATGGCCAGAAGCAGAGCTACGCAGCTTGACAACAGGCTGGCTTTCCTCCCCCAGGGCTGCCTGAGCTGGCTGAGTCAGTCAGACCACCCAGGCCGGGTGAGGGGTGAGGTCCCTACACCCCACCCAAGTGGGCTCTTGACAGATGCCTGATGAGTAAATAAATACCAAACAGCGGCAGTCTCTCCCCAAGGAACTCAGCCCACTTGAGAGATTCACATGACTCTCTCTACAAGATCAAGAGGAAAGCGGTAGAGTTCTTAGGAGGGTCTAAAGCGACATAAGCACTCAAGGTCGGCTCAAGAGCAGGAAGGTGGAAGGCCTGAGCACCACGCTCTAGAGAGGAGACGGGGCTCCGAGCTAACACATCCTCCCAGTCTTCTGCGAGCAGAGCCTCGCACGGCGCCTCAGAGCCTCCGAGCTCCGCACCCACCCTCCCCTCTGCCCACTGCCATTTATTGCTACCTGGAGCCCCCACCCCAACTTACTGCCTCCGTTTATCCACCTGCTGCATTCCTCCTGTCTCTGCCCTTCGTTCCTCCTCTTGCTCCAAATCAGGGGCCTCCCCCGGGTTGCCTCCCCCACCTCCTCCACAGCTGCAGTGACTACAAGGGGCAAGGAGTCTCACATGAACACCATCCTTTAAGGCAGTGGTTCCCAACAGGGGGTGATTTGGTTGCCTGGGGGACATCTGGGCAATGTCTGGAAACACCTTGGTTGTCCCAAAGGAGAGAACGCTACTGGAATCTAGCAGGTGGAGCCCAGGGATGCAGCTAAACATCCTACAACACACAGGACAGCCCCAAACCACAAAGAACCACAAAGCTCTATCCAGTCCACACGTCAGAAGTGCCAAGGGGGAGAAACCCTGGTTTAGGTCACTGTTTCTCAGTCCTCGGGCCCTGGACTCTTCGTCTGACCACCGCATATGCCCCAAGAGTTCAAAAAGTGCCAAGACAGAAAAATACGCCAAAAAGAGTTGGGGAGGGGTGGTCCAAAGTGGCAAAGGCCATACACCTACTCCACTGGCCAATGTCAGGAAAATGCAACTCTAAAGCTGCTGACCAACTTCTGACCAAGGAAGAGGGGTACTGCTCACATGAATTGATGGTTACTGTGACACCAGTTACTGTCACTGTCACTGAGGAGGACTGCCCACTGTTCCCTGGAGCCCACAGGGGAGCAGTCGCTGGCTTAGGGCTCAGCTACAAGCTGGGCACCGCAGGTGCTAAGGCAAACCATGGAACAGACAGTATTTTCCACTTTCCATTTTCCCACTTTTCAGCTTTCCATTCCATTACACTGGTCCATCGACTAATCATACGTGCCTGCACCACGGTGTCTTAATTCCCACAGCTTAAAGGTAAGTTCTGATAGTCTTAAAATTATCTTCCTTATTCTTAGCACTTGCTTTTTTCTGTATCAATTTCATAACAACGTGTCAAGCTCCATGAAAAACCTTATCTGAATTTTGACTGGAAGTACACTGAGTCTGTGGATTTACTTGGGAAGATTTGCCATCTTTGTCAGCTTTTCTCTTCGTGCGCATGGCCTCGTCCATTGATTTATGTCTTCTTTAACGTCTTTCCATGATAGGTTATACATTTCTCTATAAAGATCTTGGACATGTTCTGTTTTCTTTATTTTTAAGTACTTCAGGGTTTGGTTTGGTTTTGTTTTGCTTTTTTGGTGGTATTGTGAGTTTTTAAAGTAAGATTTTCTACTGGTTATTAATGTATACAGCAATGCTATTCAATTTTCCATGTTGATATTAGAACCATTTCTCTTGCTGCTGTCAAAAGCGTTTGGAGTCCCAGATGCGTTTACACCATGAGAAAGAAGCTAGGTCCCAAATCAACATGCTGTATGATGCCATTTATAGGCTATTCTGAAAAAGGAAAATTCATAGGGGCCAAAAATAGACCAGTGGTTGCCAGGACCAGAGATGGTGGGAGGACTGACTACAAAGGAGCGTGAAGGAAATTGGGGAAACAATGGAATCGCCCTGCATCTTGATAGTGGTGGTGGTTACATAACCGTATGCATTTATCGAAACTCAGAATTCAAACTCACACTCATAACACTCACACTGAAAAGGGGTAAACTTAACTAATTATGTTTTGATACATTTGATCTTAAAAAAAAAGACATTCGGAGGAATTTAGAATCGTAAGTGTGTGTGTGTGTGTGTGTGTGCGCGCACTTGTCTCCAAAAATGGATAAAGCTAACCAAGCATCAGCCTCCAAGCTCTGAGACAACTTCCTGATATTGGAGGGTCCATGTGTCACAAACAAGGAGTCACAAAAATACATAACACACCTCCAGGGCCTGTTAACACTACAGCTCTAACAGGGTTGCCTTAGATACACGATGGGCCTGGGTTCTAAACGCAGTTGAGCAGGCTGACCTTCACCTGCTGCGCAGGGCGCATCCTCACTCGCAGGGCTTATCCAGAGGCTTAGGCCGGGCAGAGTTTCTCAGGCTGGGCTCACAGCTCAAGGTTCCCATGGCACGGCAAACCACCCGGGCTTTGGTTGCCATGGGTTCCAACCCTTGGGCCTCTGCTTCTGCTTCCCCTCTGGGACCTTCTAAAAGGCCAGAGGGAGAAAACATGAAAACAGCAGAACTGGCCCACTGTGCATTTTGGCTCCTTGGAGATGATGTTATTATGATCCATAAGCTACTGTTTTCTGAGTGCTCAGTAAGTTCCAGGAACTGTGCGAACTTCCTTATAAGCATTATCACTTTTCATCTTCATATGGCCCTCGGAGACACCTGTTTCCTTATCATACAGGTGAGGAAATTGGAGCTGAGTGAAATTAAGTAATCGAGTTTCACCATTAGCCAGAGGAGGAGGCCAGACTCGAACCCAGGACTACCTGACTCCACTGCCTGGCATAACTGCCTTCCTGACTGGACTGCAGCACATGGCTCAGCGCCTGCGGTGGCCCCTGAATGAACGGATGAATGAACGAGGACCAGGAGAGAGGAAGGGAGAATGCTGCCTGTTTCCTTGCCCAAGGGAATTCCACTCTGACCCAGCATTATGAATTTACTGACACTGGGTGACAGTATCCTCTCCACCCAAGCTGATCTCGGCAGAACAGAAACAAATCACATCCTTCTTTCTCACCTTGGTGCCTGATTCTCCTGACCCCTCTCTGTAGACTCGTTCTTTTCCCGGTGTGTTTCAAGCCCCTACTCCTCTCTGCAGATTTGGGACAACTAACAGATACACAGCTCTTCCTGGGGAAACCCCCTGAACAAATATCTCACTCATTTATTTGCTCCTGTGAGCCACGTCACAACCCTCTGAGATACTCGGGGTTCTTTTTGCAGTTAACAGACGAAAAACTGAACGCAGAGTGGCTCAGGGACCTGCCAAAGCCTCCTCCCCTACCCAGCAAGATTCAAACCCAGGCCCCCTGGCCTCCAATCTGGACCGTTCTGCAGCTCACATGGCCCTAGCACAGAGAGAGGTTTTATTGCTTATTTAGAGCTGTGTGTGATGTGCGTGGCAAAAATCTGAATTTAAATTGGATTACAGAAGTACTCCCAAATCCAATTTAGAGAAGCACAAAACGGAAGAAACATTCTGCAAATTTTCAATTCATGCTGTTAAGCATTAAACTCTGCAATCCAACCCACTCAAATCCTGCTCAAGCACCAGTCTGGGTTTCTTTCTTTCCTTTTTTTTTTTTAATGTCTAAATTGTAGAGATTTCCATTCCTAAGAAATCCAGAGGCTGAGCTCTGGCATCAGACCTGAGTTTGAATCCAGCTCCATCACTGACTCACTGTGGGACTGCAAGTGTGTTTCTTAACTACTCTGAACCAGTTTCCTTGCATGTAGAGGAGAAAAGCTCCCACATCCAACAGCCACTGCGCAGATTAAACACGGAGACTGTGGGGAAGGACTTAACATCCAAAGGCGCTACGCAGGAATGACAAATACTAGCCCCCTTCCCTTCCCTTCTACAGAAATAGTAACTTTGAATGTCAATTCTTTTAGCCACAAAACAGTTTCCATCCAGTCATGATTTGCCGAGCACCTACCACGTGCCCTGGGTCCTCTGACAGCGAAGGCAGCCAGCAAACAGACAATTACACAAATAACTCGTTAATAACAACCGATGTGTTCACTCTTGCTAAGTGTGCTGAAGGAGAGAACAGATATCCTTTACAACGACTGTCCTGTGGGCACCCACCTCCCCAGCCCGTGTCGCCTCCCAGGATCTGAGAGCCAGAGACCCGACCCTCAGCCAGAGGAGCCCCTGGTAAAGGCTTACGGTTTTCTTCTCCTGGTGGACTTTCTCTAAAGCCCCATACAAGGAATTTTTGGTGAGAGGAAAGGACCGACGGGTCTGTCTGTCTGCACCATGAAAGAGGCAATAAGCCCGAGGGGCTCTCTGAGCTGGACTTGTGCGGCTGGTGGCTGTGGGGTGTCTGCGGGGTACCTGGGGGATTTTTCTGGGGACTTGTCTGCTCAGCTCGTGCCCCTCCTGGCTCCTACGTGACAGGTGCTGGTGTTGCCCTGCGCAGCCAGCTTGGAGGTCAATACACTGTATATGTGCCTGCCCGGGGAGGGTGTCAAAAGGGCCTAGGGAAGGGGCGGGGAACAGGACAAACCTTTACTGATGCCCACAGCAGGCAGGTGCAGTCACGACTATTATCCCCTTGTTACTCAGGCAGAACCTGCGACTCAAGGAAGTTCCATTCGTTCATTCAACAGATGCTCATTCAGTATACACTCTGTGCCGAATTCTGAATCTAACACAAGGTCACAGAGCTGCTAAGTGGGTGGGTTGGATCCAAAGAATCTTCCTGGCTTCAAACCCCTTGCTCTTTTCAGTCTAACGTGATGCCTCAAGAAGGGAAGAGATTTTATCCTCAGAGCGGTCACAAAGCAGTTGGAGTGCCTGGTGCATCAGAACAAGACAGTTAGCAGGGCAAAACTGTGTGCGCTAAGTATCGAAGGAAAA